TCACCACTCACTGGTCACCACTCACTAGTCACCACTCACTGGTTACCACTCACTGCTAACTACTCACCACTTACCACTCAACGCTCATCACACCACCAATCTCGGTCACTACAGTCATCTCTCAGTACCTAATACAAACATATGTCTATTTACCACATTAGTTGTAGTTTTAGAAATTAAACCATATTTTTTCCTTAATTCAGTGTTAATATTGTGCATGTGCAGACAACACTACATTGACATTCAGGTTTGCCTCTGTAAAGCATTCAAGTGAGTTTTTAAATGTTTGCTAACAGGAATATAAAAGTGGTCGGGCGGCCCTCCAACATGCCGCAGGCGCAGGCTGTCATCGACGAGATCCAGGAGGAGGCCAAGCAGTACAACCGCATCTACGTCGCCTCCATTCACCCAGAGCTCACCGAGGACGACATCAAGAAGTGAGAACGCAACACCACAACAACAACAACCCTCCCTCGCAAATAAACTGTACCACACATGTACTACCACATGCTAATCGTAATATTTGTGCAGCGTGTTCGAAGCGTTCGGGCCTATCACCTACTGCAAGCTGGCCCAGGGCTCCTCCGCGCACAAGCACAAGGGCTACGGCTTCATCGAGTACTCCACGCTCTCCGCCGCCCTCGAGGCCATCTCCTCCATGAACCTGTTCGACCTGGGCGGGCAGTACCTGCGCGTGGGCCGCGCCATCACCCCTCCCGCCGCCCTGGCCGGCCCGCCCCACGCCGCGCCCATGCCCACCGCCGCCGCCGTCGCCGCCGCCGCCGCCACCGCCAAGATACAGGCCATGGACGCCGTCGCCAGCAACGCCGTCGCCCTCGGCCTCACCAAGCTCAACGCGCTCGGCGTGCCGCCCGCCGCCGCCCTGCCCACCCTCGCCGCCGCGCTGCCCGTCACGCTGCCCGTCACGCTGCCCGCCGCCCTGCCCGCCGCGCTGCCCGGCACGCTGCCCGTCGCGCTGCCCGGCCTGCCCGGCCTGCCCGCCGTCGTCCCGCCGCTCGCCGCCATCCCGCCGCCCGCCGTCATCCCTCCGCCCGGCGTCGTCATCCCGCCGCCCCCCGTCTCCGCGCGCAACAACGCACAGGTCACGCATCGGACACGCAAATAGATCGTGACCACAAAATACTTTTTTTTTCGGTTTTACACAAACCCTCAATTGTAATTATATAGCTGTGAGGCCCCGGGAATGACGTCCGCATGTTTGTCCCGCAGATGGAGAGCGCGGCGACCGCAGCGGGAGGAGGCGCGGGAGCGGCGAGCGGCGCGGCGAGCGAGGGCGGCCAGCAGGCGGCGCTGCAGCGCAAGCTGCTCGACACCTCGCCCGACACTCTCCAGCAGCAGGAGTCACTCTCCATCTCCGGACAGTCCGCGCGACACCTCGTCATGCAGGTGAGCCCGCCCCCGCCCCCGCCCTGGTCCACGCCCCGCCCCGCCCCGCTGACGTGTCCGTCTGTTGCAGAGGCTGATGCGGCGGCGCGCCTCGCGCACCGTGCTGCTGCGCAACATGGTCTCCGCGGACGAGGTGGACGAAGCGCTGCATCACGAGATACAGGTTTATTTTATTTTTCTGGTCATAATGTTAACCGTTGTAGCCGCCGTCCTCGCGGTTGCTCACCCGGACATGTGGGATTTGGAAGATTCCTGTTGTTAATGTAAAAGCGCTCGTTCCGATGGTGATGTTGCAGGAGGAGTGCTCCAAGTGGGGCCGCGTGGAGCGCCTCGTCATCTACAACGAGCGCCAGAGCGACGACGACGACCCCGCGCACGCCCACGTCAAGATATTCGTGCAGTTCGCCGAGCCTGAAGGTACGCGCCTCCATACATCACGCACCTCACACACCCCGCGCACCTCACACACCCCGCGCACCTCACACACCTCCCGCACC